AAGAGAGATTAAAAGTCAGGTCAAGGCTCCAAAAGCACAAAGGCGATATAAGGCGGCTCACAACAGTTTTTGTTTGCTGGATCATTTTAGTTCAGCTTTCCTTTTGTTATATTTCTTTAAGAGTTCAAAATGTGTTAATTACATAAATAAAATGTAATTTTCTCTGTAGCACTTCATGGATTTCATAAGCAACACACCTTAGTTGTTCACACAAAGCATAAAGGTAAAAAACAATATATACAGTGTTATCTTCATTTTAGATGTCAAAAAGTATTTGCGGCTCCCAGTGTTTTTGTGTGGAAACCGGCTCCAAATGGCTCTTTGGGTGTTAAAGGTTGCTGACCCCTGACAGGCCTATTACTTCAGGAACCTTTGAAATATGTTCTCACTGTATATTTTAACCAAAATAAGCATACTATTGTATGTCTGTGAAGGTTCTCAGTCATCCAGGTCATCGTAGTCAAAGGAGCTTGCAAAGAAAAGCGTCTGGACTTCTTTAAGTTGCTTGAAGACGTTTCACCTCTCATCCGAGAAGCTTCTTCAGTTCTAAGGTCAAATGGTGGAGAGTCCCAGATATAAACCTAGTGGGAGTTTCCCCCACAGAGGGACAAAAGGACCCCCTGATGATCCTCTAATCGCCTGAGCCAAGGTGTGAAACTGGGTGTGGGTCCCAATCAGCCAGAGTTTCGGGTGAGTTCATTGTGAAACCTGGCCCCACCTTATCATGCGAATTCCTGAGGTCAGATGGCCCAGGATGTGAGTGGGCGTTAAGGCGTCTGGGAAGGGATCTCAAAACTGGATTATAGATGGCAGAGAGTTGGTGTCGTAAACCCCCGCCTCTGTTCAAAGATGGTCGCTCACAGTGGACATAGATGGCTTCTTTCACTCCTCTTTCAAACCATCACCTGTCTTTACACAGGTGGCTTTCATTTCTCCTGGAAACATTTTAGTAGAGCATGGTTACTTTTACTGGGTAGTTAAAATTCTCTCCATTCTTAAGTATGAACTTAAGGTCAGTGGTTACTGTATCTTGATACAGATGATCTTTTTTTCCAGACCGCTTTAAAGAAAATTACATGAGCTCAAGTTTACTGTAGATCAAAAGTCCAAGTCTGGCTTTTCAGTCCCAGCTGTGTTTCATCTGACCAGAAAAAAGATTCTCAAACACTCATTGCTTTTGCAGCCCTACCTGTCAGAATTCAACCAGCAACTTTTAAGTAAAAGCACAATCACAAGTAATAAAGTCTCATTGCTTTCAGCCATGCAACTGCAGGTCTGCACTGAGGTGGAAGTGTACCAAAATGTTGTCAGCAAGTGTCAGTTAACATGACTTCACTATGCAAAACTCCAAGTAACACTCACATTCTGATTTAAACACTTATTTGTACCCAAAGTCACTGAAGTGATTCGTGACTGAGTCACAGATGCAGACAGACCAAAGATCCAGCTCAAAAGGTTTATTCAGATGAACAGATCAGAAACATTTCCAAATGTCAGACAGCTTAGAAGCAGAGCCATACCCTGATAACATCCATCGCTCCATGTGACATTTCACACAAAACACCACAACATACAAGAACTGATGCCAGCTTTAAAGTGAGGAAATCAGGAAAGAAATCAGCTGGAGCAGAAGTGAGTTTACTTCAAAGCCTGTGTTGTTAACATGCTGACTCCAGGCTCACTTCTACGTCTCAGCATTTAGCTCTTGTCACCCAGAGTGTGCTTGTCAAACAGGTACTCTGCCATCTTGTTGTTGTGGGCATCCATGCGGGTGAGGTTAGTGATGTGGTCACCCAGCTTCTTGATGGACTTCACCTGCTCATCCAGGTAGTGGCTCTCCAGGAAGTCACACAGCTGGGAAAACAAACTACAGTTAACATTTGATGATTTGTCAAACATAGACAGCATGAACTAGTTCAGTCTTTAACCCCAAACTCTTCCCTCCAACTCCCACTTACATGAGGGTCATTATGCTGAGAAGCCAGCTTGTGCAGGTCCAGCAGAGCCTGGTTGACATTCTTCTCCAGCTGCAGAGCACACTGCATGGCCTCCAGCCCGCTGCCCCACTCGTCACGCTCTGGTTTCTGCACAACAAACAATTCTGTTAGAGACCGAACACTTGTTTTAAGCTCTGTGTACACATTACACACTAATGCAACAACAGGAAGAGAACAAGTGTCATAACACTGCTCATTAATCCCAGTTTCTGTGTCAGAGACACAGTCAGGTATGTCACAGCAGGACTGGTTCAGTTTGTACACACCTTGATGTCCTGGAGTAAGACGCGACCTCCTCTCTTGTTCTGGAAGGACAGCAGCTTGTCAGCGTGCTCCCTCTCCTCATGGCTGTTCTCCTTGAAGAAGTGGGAGAAGCCTGGCAGGGCCACATCATCACGGTCAAAGTAGAAGGCCTGCCAAATCAGACACAGGTTATTAGTACACAGCACCAATTATTCTGCAAATACAGCATCGTGACAAACAGTTATGGAGACAGACATGATTCATGATGGACAATTCAGCTGGTTTAGACCGAGGTAACTGCTGAAATAGAGACTAAGACCCCACTCTGCTGCTAGTTCAACAATTCAAACTTGACACCCACCAACACAGAATCTTGCACTGTGCAGGGTTGCTGCAAGTATGAGTGGAGCAGCAAATGCTCTCCAGGTCTGTTGTCCATTAAACATACAATTAACTGAGAAAAATATATAACTGTCAAAACATCTGTTGAAATTTCATGATTCAGTTTCACATTGTGACCTTTAAACTTTCACCTAAGAGCACAAGTCAATATCTAACACTGTTAAAAAATAAGCTGTCATTTGTTAAAAAGCTGCATTAACACAATACATCTTAGTGTGCCACAATTACATCCCTGTTCTAGCTGAGCCATTTAACCTTAATA